TGCCACAGCTAAGACTGTGCCATTTTACTAAGATTCCACCCTTTTGTTTTTTATCAAGCAAGTGTTGTATGGGATTACATCAGACCCAAAAGTCCAGGAGGGGTGGAGGGATGATGATCTGTCTTTAGAGCTACCTCCTGCTGACGTGGGGCAGTGTCTTAAGCCACAGTCTCCTGGGTGGGGAGCCGAGTGTATCCGTGGAGCAGCATTTGGTTGACTGGTTGGTGAAGGCTTTAGTTTGTTCTGTTATCGCCTCTTGTAAACACTTAAACGGACAAGATAGTAGAAAAGACAGGGTGAGAATAGCAGCCAATGGTCCTAAGAGTGACATCAACCAAGTAATGAGAGGATTTCACAGAGGAGAGGAGATGGAGGGAGGGGAGGTCTCTGGACCCTGGTGTAGACTGTCAGACGGATGTGGTTTTACCTGGCCTCATTGGTTAACATAACAACAACACTGTCAAGGCCCGTCTGTTCCACAGCAATATGGCTTTGGAGACCTCGATGGCATCAGCTGAGGTCTCGATGGACCTAGTGACCTCCTCTTGTAACTGTTGGAGTTGTTTGGAGTCAGCTGGTTGAGATCACCCTGCGGCCCAAAGCTGCTCCTGAGATCACTACTGAGGAGAGGGAGGCTGTGAGGCTGATCCCAGCCACGACTGGGAGAAAGGCCGCTCGTCTGTTGTGGGTAGGGGGTTTGTCTGTAGCAAAAATTATGAACAAGCAGATGATGTTAAGTGGGGGAGGGGACCATCAATACACACATGTTGGGAGTAGAGCCATTGGTGTAAGAGTAGAGGCTATGATTACAAAAGTATGAGACCCCAATGGGCTAGACAGGGTCTACAGCAAAGGACAGAGTCATTAGTCAAGGACCTAAGCGAGCTGCTGTCTACATCAGGAATAAGTTTTCTGATTAAGAGGCAAACAGAAACTGGCAGAAGGGGCCTGATGATAATCAGGTGGGCCTTAAGGCCTTGCCAGTTATGAGGCCCAGGCCTAGCTGTCTTTCCACAAGGGGTACATCCTTTTTTTATTTTTTATTTTTATTTATTTATTTTTTGACAGGCAGAGTTAAAGAGAGAGACAGAGAGAAAGATCTTCCTTTTCCATTGGTTCACCCTCCAAATGGCTGCTACGGCCAGCGTGCTGCGCCGATCCGAAGCCAGGAGCCAGGTGCTTCTCCTGGTCTCCCATGCGGGTACAGGGACCCAAGCACTTGGGCCACAGCAGAGAGCTGGACTGGAAGAGGAGCAACCGGGACTAGAACCCGGGGTACCGGCGCCGCAGGCAGAGGATTAGCCAAGTGAGCCGCAGCACCGGCCGAAGGGGTACATCCTAAGGAAAGTGTGAACCTCCTTGGGGAAGGCACTCTGTTGACTTCCATTGCCTAGCTGGCCTGGGAGGAGAGCTGGCCAGGTAAAAGCAGGTGGCAGTTATAGTTCTGTCTGCAATGTTGCTGACCCTACTTGGCCATCCCTGCAGCAGCAGTGGTCACTTTGGAAGCTGGGCCAAAGGGCTCTTCAGCTTAGAGGGCAGATCACTGTGTAAAGCAGCCATTAGTTGGCCTGCCACCTATCTTTGGTTTTGGTTTTTTTTTTTTTGGACAGGCAGAGTGGACAGTGAGAGAGAGAGACAGAGAGAGAAAGGTCTTCCTTTTGCCGTTGGTTCACCCTCCAATGGCCGCCGCTGCAGCCGGCGCACCGCGCTGATCCGATGGCAGGAGCCAGGAGCCAGGTGCTTTTTTTTCCTGGTCTCCCATGGGGTGCAGGGCCCAAGCACCTGGGCCATCCTCCACTGCACTCCCTGGCCATAGCAGAGGGCTGGCCTGGAAGAGGGGCAACCGGGACAGAATCCGGCGCCCCAACCGGGACTAGAACCCGGTGTGCCGGCGCCGCAAGGTGGAGG